AGGCAGTACACTGCAGCAGCAGCAGCAACAGCAGCAGAAGCAGCGGCAACAGCAGCACCAGCAGCAGCAGCAGCAGCAACAGCAGCAATGAAGGCATGTTCTACACAACCGCGAACGTCCTTATGCTGGTGCAAACAAATCCTAGTGATGCAGCATCATAGGACAGCAGCAGCAGCAGCAGGAGCGCAGCAGCAGCAGCGCAGCAGCAGGAGCGCAGCAGCAGCGGCAGCAGCGCAGCAGCAGCGGCAGCAGCACAGCAGCAGCAGCAGCAGGACTATTTCATTCTACCTCACCTGTTTCCAGCACTGCTTGGCGCAGGTGCACCCGTTTTTGCTGCTGCTTTTGCTGCTGTTGCTGTTGCTGCTGCTGCTGCTGCTGCTGCTGCAGCAAGCTGCGAGCTGCTGCAGCAGTTTGAGCTGCTGCTTCTTCATCAGCAGCAAACGCCAGCGAGGAGAACAAAGACAGCTGCAGCGAGCAGTCTTGCTGCAGCACAGAGCTGCTGCCTCTCCCCTTCTCTTTTTTCCTTTTGTATAGCTGTTGCTCCTGCTGCTCCTGCTGCTGCTGCTGCTGCTGCTGCAGCTGTTGCTGCTTCTGCTGCTGCTGCAGACGACCGCCGGCCAAGGAGGCAGCAGTCAGGAAGGTGCTGCTGCTGCTGATAGTTGCATCCCTCTTTACCTCTTTGCTGCTCCTGCTGCTGCTTCTGCTGCTGCTGCTTCTGCTGCTGGTGCTGCAGCTGCTCGTGCTGCTCGTCCTCCTGCTGCTGTTTCTGCTGCTCCTGCTGCTGCTTCTGCCTCGCGGGCTGTTGCTGCTGCTGTTGCTGCAGAGGGGGTCTGCAGCCGCTGCTTGCTGGAGGTACTCCCGCAGCTGCTGCAGCAGCAAATGCCTGCGAAGTTGCCGCTGCTGCTGCTGTTGCTGCTCCTGCTGCTGCTGCCGCAGCTGCTGCTGCTGCTGCTGCTGCGCGTCCCCGCACTGAAGTTCTTTAAGAAGCAGCAGCAGCAGAGGGGCTGCTTCCGACCTGATGATGCGCTGGAGCAGCAGCGGCTGTGCTGCCGCTGCTGCTGCTGCTGCAGTTGCTGCTGCTGCTGCTGCTGCTGCTGCTGCTTCTGTTGCCTGAGCCAAGGCAACCTGCAGCAGCACATGCAGCAGCAGCACGGACTGCAGCAGCAGCGAGGAGGGCAGCAGCCACCGGCTGCGGAGGACGCATTCGATCTGCTGCAGCAGCTGCTGCTGTGCGTAACAAACACTGCAGCAGCAAGGACCTTCTGCTGCTGCTTCTGCTGTTGCTGCTACCCCCCGTACGTTGCTGCTGCTGACGCTGCAGCACGCAAACATGTGAGGAAATAGCAGCAGCAGCAGCTGCTGCAGCCGCAGCAACTGCAGCAGATCGACCTCGCTGCACACCCGCCCTGAGCTGCATGCTTCAGTGTTGCTGTTGCTGCTGCTGCTGCTGCTGCTGCTGCATTCGAGCTCTCCTTGCTGCTGCTGCTGCTGCTGCTGCAGCCTCAACGCAACATGCGTGCGGAAGCATTGTATGAGCTCCAGCAACAACGTCACCGGCCGCTGCTGCTGCTGCTTCTGCTGCTGTTGCTGCTGTTGCTGCTGTTTCTGCTGCTGCTGCTGCTGCGGCGGCGGCGCGCGCCAGTAGTTGTGCGGCAGTGGCTGCACCCTTCGGCGAGGCAGCGGCAGCAGCTGCAGCTGCTGCAGCAGCAGCAGCTGCTGCTGCTGAGCTGCAGAGCACCAGAACTGCAAATCAGCTCCATGCACGGATACTGCTGCTGCTGCTGCTGCTGCTTTTGCTGCTGCTGCTGCAGCTGCAGCTGCTGATGTTGGTGCTGCAGCTGCCGGGTCGTCTGCAGCATGCTTGCTTGTTCGCTGCTGCTGCTGCTGCTGCAGCTGCTGCAGCTGCTGCATTTGTTGCAGTTGTTGCTGCTTCTCTAAAGAGTGATAGCGACACAAAAGGCTGCTGCTCTGTGTACACAACGCATGTTGCTGCTGCTGCTGCTGCAGTTTCAGTTGCTGCTGCTGCTGCTGCTGCAGTTTCAGTTGCTGCTGCTGCTGCTGCTGCTGCTGCTGGGTGATTTGCTGCAGCAGCAAACCCCACAGAGCCTCCGCCCGCAGCAGCGCCAGCGCAACGAAGGTGCCGTCTGCTGTCAGCAGCAGCGACACCTCACGCAGATACACACAAACGAGCGAGCAGCTAAAAGGAGAAACAGCAGCAGCAGCAGCAGCAGCAGCAGCAGCAGCAGAAGTAGCAGCAGGAGTTGCAGCAGCAGTTGTAGCAGCTGCGGCAGCAGACTCAGGAAGAAAGGCTGCTTCATGTGCGCCTGCAAGTTTGTCCGTTGCTGCTGCTGTCGCTGTTGCTGCTGCTGCTGCTGCTGCTGCTGCAGGTATCTGCTGCTGCTGCAGTTGCCACGACGCTTTGAGGGCCCTACCAAAGCTGAGGCCATCGCACACTTCGTTGCTGCTGCTGCTGCTGCTGCTGCTGCTGCTGCTGCTGCTG